GGGGGGGGAACTTCACCCCTGAGTCTGCCGCCGCGAAACTTCCCCGTCTTATTTCTCCATTAGGGCTGCAATAGGTGGAAGTGATTGACTCACTATGAGACTGCTGTTTTTGCCTCTGACTTGGGATTAAGACGGAGCCGGAGGAGCGGAGGAGCTGTCGCGCCGGCTCTCTGGCAGGCAGACACCGGAGCCGTCACTTACCTCTCACTGCATCCAGCCCCCCCGGCCGTGGGGCTGCGGGTCCTGGAGAGTTAGCTGGTGAGGGACCCCAGATCCACTCGGGTTTCTCCCAGGACCGACGTTCGGCTGCTGCTTCTTAGGCACAGACCCAACCCCTCCATTCCAACCACAGGAAAAAAAAATATATCTTCTTCCAAAAGAAAAAAAATAAATAAAAAAAAGAGGGAGATTAAAAAAAAAAAACACCCCACGTTTTTTTCTTGGTTCGGTTTCCCCCTGCCACCCCCTGGAGAAAAAAAAATAAAAATAGATAAATCCCAGCGACCAAGAAATCCAGACTCAGGTGAATTTAGCTTCAAACTCCCTCTGCGCTTTCAGAGCCTTCACCCTCAAATGGGCTCTGGAAGATGCTGGGGGACCCATCGTCGCCAAAGTGTCATCAAATATCCTTCGGGCTCAACTCCGCTCCTGCCCGGGGAGGGTGGACTTCTTCCCTGCTTGCTGCGTGCTGTGGAGTTGGCAGGGACCTGCCTGTTTCAGCCTCAGTGTGGAGGGTGGGTGGGTTGGTTGGTTGATGTGGGTTGGTTTTCTTTTTTTTTTCCCTTTCTCTCTGCTATTGGTTTTCTTGCTATCTGATCCTGAGCGAGCGCTGCAGCTCGCCGCTTCCCTGCTTTTTTTCCCCCAGCTCCCAGCCTTTTGACAGGGAATGAAACACAGACACCCAGTGAGACAGGCTCCAGCTTCTACAAAGCTCCACTCCCTCCTACCGCCTTTGTCCGTGAACAGCAACTACTCCAACTCTGCCCGTAGACACAAGTGAACCTCTGCATCAGCACTTTCCTAATGGCTGCTTCGCCCGAGTCCTTCGGCCCTTCTTCTTCTTCCTTGCTTCCTCTCCTCCACCTTGATGGCTTCCGCTTGCTTTTTCGAGCCCGGCCCCGGCTTCCCCAGCCACAGCCACCACGAAGCAACAACCCTTTCCCGACAGATCCATCTCAGCTCCCCCGCGCCGGCTGCTGCGGTCCGGGGGTTGCGACCCCGCAGTCCATCACCATCCTTTCTGGGCGCCTTCCATGAAAAATCGATGGCGGGTACCGCATCCCCAGAGGCTTCGCTCCGCTTTCGGCTGGGTTAAGGGGCAGGGTCTGCGTGTGCGGAGAGGAGCCGGGGGCAGAGGGAGGGCTGGGAATTGAAGCCACTTCTTTTTGTTGCGGGTGGGGATTATTTTTTTTTTTCTTTTAAGATTGATTGGAGTCCAAGTTTATTTCTTGGTGGTGAGCATTATTTTAAGCCGTTTGGGAGGCTTTGGGTGTCTCCAGGTCACCCTGTCCTTAGAACAGCGAGGCCTTTTTGGAGAGGGTCAAAGTGAAACCCTGCTCCGGCAGCCTTTCCCCCCCACGGAGGGGAGCGGGTGGCAGAGGGATGCTGCAGTGGGCTCACAACCCCAGCTGGCTTCCAGCCAGAGGGAGAGGCAAACCAGCCACCATCTGTAATTTTTGCTAAATTTCCTCCACGCTCGGTCGCCTGTAAGATCCCAGGGCTGCTGCCTGCTCCTTTTTGGGGATTCGCAGGCTTCGTTCAAAAAAAAAAATAAAAATCACAGCTTGGAGACCTCCAGCCTCGACAGCGATGCTCAACACTGCTCAGCTTGGCTGTCACGCAGCCGTCAGGTCACATAAAAACTATAAAGCCCCCAGCACATGAAGAGGTTGCGTCCCCACCCGCTCCATCTCCCTTTTGCATCTCCTCCCATCTCTTCCCAGCTTTCTCTTCGCTCTTCTTCGTCTCCCACCACGGGTTTGAGACCAGCAATCCCTCCCTCTCCTCTTCCCTTCGGCAGCACCCCAGAGCAGTGACTCTCCTCGTCCCCGGCTCCCATCCTCTCCCCAGCATGGCGATGGAGCATCGTGCTTCCCCTCACCGCTCCCAAACACCCCCAAACTCCAGAGCATCTCAGGACGATGCTTGCAGTGCTGCCTCCACTCCCCTTCCACGCTAACTTGCCCCGTCTCACCCCATTGCACCAACCCCACAAATACTGAATTTTTACCAACACTTTGAAATTCCAAGATGAAAAGCACTGCAGGGCCTTGTTCTGGCAGCGGGACACCTAAACCCCGACGGAAGCTCAGCTAGCAGCGGGAATTGGGGTTTTGCAGATCAGAGGGGACACCAGCTCGCACGCTGGGCATGGTGGCCCTGAGCACGACCACCCAGGGAACCGAGGGGCGACCATCAGTGTCCTGACCCCAAAACACTGCTCCCTTCTGCCCGGCCGGCAGCCCCTCGCACCCTGGCTTGCTCCTCCCTGCCGACTCCTCTCCTGCTACCCACTGCGCTCATCGCTTGTGGAAAGCTTTTCGAATCCCTCCACCCCCCCGCCCCGGCCCCGGTGCCCAGCCGGCTGTGCCAGCCCCAAGCTCCCCGTGCCGGCCCCCTGGCTCCCTCCGCTCCCCGCAGCA